ATCGACCTCCCGATGAGGACCATACAAAAAAAGTGCCAACAAGAACGAGCATGCGGCAGAAAATCTCCAAATAAATCATCAACAGAACGGGAAAAAAAATCTCGTGCTACAAGGACGTTCATCGTCGCCCTTTTTTCTTTCTTTTTCTCGTTTGTTGACGTCGGGGGCGTCGCGGTGACGCACTCGTTTCTAGCAGTGAGTGTCTCCGCTGCTGCTGTCGTTGCACAGGTAGACAAATGGCTACCCACCCATATTCCTCTGAGGAAAAATAATCTTCTAGAGGGTTTGAAATCCTCTGGAGGATATGTAATCCTCCAGAGGATATGCGCACAATATACTCCCGAGGGAAAAACCCAAACATTACTCGGAGGGGAGAAAATCGGCTCCCCCGGAGGATGCAAAAACAAAAATCCTCCCGAGGGCACCGATACAGCATCCAGGGCATCGACTAGAAACCGTTGCTCTGGGGGGTACGTTTCTGACGTATTCCTCGGAGGGTAGGCAACTGATGTCCTCCGAGGATTTGAAAGGACGATTTCCTCAGAGGGAAGAATTTAGTATCCCTCCAGAGTATCACCTGAAATGAAGGTACTCTAGAGGATATTCAGGAAGCGTATCCTCGGGGGCAACATTTTCTCTTCCCCCCGAGGGACAGATTCGAACGAACCCTCAGAAGGGGAAATAATCAGCATCCTCCAGGGCATTAAATAGGAAGGAATTTCCTTGGAGGAAAAAATGCCCAACAATTCCTTGAGGAACAATAATACGACAAGTCCTCGAGGGAGTATTTTTCGAATTTCTCCTCGGGAGATACATCAAACACCTGCCGCGAGGCCGCTGCAAAGCAAGTGTAACGACACGACCTGTTGTACACTGCTCATAGAGGGAATGTCGGCACCCTACCACGTTACATTTGTAGCCAGAAGACTCTGCTCGCCGGCAAGCCAAAACCCGGGCCGTCTCGTTGGGTGCTCGAGGAGAAAACGCCGATCGTGCCAAGCGGCGACCGGACTCTCGATCAGAACAGAGGGCTGCGCGGCGTTTTCGGGCTGTTCCGTGCGGAAGTAGAGGCTAGTTGCAACCTTTTTTCTCCACACTCACGATACCCCAAGGCATCTAACCTTGGACGAGAAAGATGGTGGGTAGAGCTACCTCCTGTCGCGTGGCATTGCCAATGCTGTTGCTTCCTCCTTCAAAGAGTTATGGCTGAAAAACTAAACTGTGAGCAGACATTCGGCGCGAAGTTGGAACTAGCCGCTCGCTCTCTGACGTGGATATATTTTTAGGGTCAACCAAAACTTTTTTCTCTACACGCACGATACCCCACGGTAGCAAACCTTGGGCATGAAAGATGGAGCAGAGAGGTACCTCCCGCCGCGTGGCGTTGCTGTTGCTGTTTTGCTTCTCCTCCTTCGGAAAGTTATCGGTGGATAACCAAAAACCCGCGGCGGTCCAAAACACCGAACTTGTGACCGCTCGCAACCGTTGACATTTTTTCTTCAACACAACCTTTTTCTCCGGCGCATTCGGCAACTCATGGCGCCAAACCTTGGCATTGCCCAACAGCCCATGTTACGAGCTCCTTCCGGATACCGTTCTTGAGGCAACTCGTAAAGTATTCGGCGAGATATCTCGACTAACACGTGAACAGAAGAGCGCAAAACCCACGAAAGAAAAAACACCGCTCGCTTTGCTGCCGCCGCTCGCTTCGCTGCTGGCTCTTCCCCTTGGGCCAGGTCTTCTATATTTTTCGCCTATTTCTTCAGTTTTTGCCACGATGATGACATGATAACGCAAACTATCCTCTAGAGGTATCTGACAAGCTTTCCTCTGGAGCGCGGTGGGCTTATTA